AGACCAGCAAGCAGGAGCCGCTAAGTAAACCTGTGCTGACTTCCTCACCTGCCATTGCTGTAGCTGATCTCCACAGTCAGACCACTGGCCAGGTAACATGATTGATGGTTTTACTATGTGTGTCTGTCTGCTGCTTCATCAAAGCTGCAGCATAAATCTATAGGGAAATGCCTAATGCATTACAGCTCTATAATGAAAGCCGGCGGGTGAGTGAAGGCAGCTAACTCTTCTGTGTGTCTACCCTTTAGGCTGACTTTGCTGTCCAACGCCCTACTTTTGTAAACCATCCACTTCTAGATCTATGCAATGATTCTTAATTTGCAAATATGTTTCCTGCATCTTCCCTTTTCACCTTCCTGTCACATATAGTAGTCCTTCTGGACCTGCTCAGCAGGGCAAGTTTTCAACAGGTTTTTACAGCTTGCTCTCAGAGAAATGCGTCCTTAAGGAAGGACTCCTTCAAAACCTCAGGACTGTTTTAGCAAAAGCATCACATTTCAAAAGAAATTGCTTGTCCAACATTTTTCTGGTTGGACACCACTGAGAACAGTGCAGGGACAATCACAGTCATCCCTTCAAAACATCAGTAACATTGAGATCACTTTTATATGCCCAGATATCTAGTGTCTTTTGGTGGTTATGTCCTTTGCCATGAACAAAGAAAAGACACCCATCTTGGGAATACACTGAAAAGAAATGAAATGAGAAAGTGTTAATGACTGAAATTGGATAACCTTTCTGGTCATTGCTACAAATTTGATTCACCAGCAAAAATAGAACATTGTTAGGGCAAAATTTTAGGGATTTATAATCTGCAAGTGCGTGGTCCTTTATGGTAGAAAGTATTTCCAAATGAGAAAATATTTTATAGATGTTCCCTTGTTTTTTTGCCTTTCTCCCTCCCACTTTCTCCGAGCCTGACCACTGGCTCTCCTCAATTGCAGAGCGAGGCACTTTCTGCTGAGAAGGAGAAGGAAAAAGAGGAGGGCTTGGAGTCCCGGCCAACAACAGCACAAAACACCCCACCCACACAGCTCTCTGACACTGAGGACTACACTGGCCTTGAGACCACCAGCTTGTTGCAGCACAGGGACACTGTCCTTCACATCAGTGAGGACAATGGGATGGAGAACCCCTTGCTGGCCACTCACTTCAGCTTCACGCACGTGGAGCTTGGGGAGACTGATGTCGATCTAGATGAATCTCACGTTTAACGCTTGGGGAAGTGCAGTAGTGGGAGGAGGCAGAGAAAAGTGTACCTTCTCCTCTAAGTTCCCTGGTAACTAGTAACTAATTAAAACAAGAGCACTTTATTAACTGAAAGCAGAAAATAGCTAACAGCTAACCGGTTGCTATAGACTGGCAAATTCCCATTTGTGAAATCTATTTCAGTTCAGGGCAAGACCACAGGAACAGAGAATTTTTACAAATTACAAGGGTAGGGGTGTGTGGGCAAATATGTGGTCCATAAAACCTTGATCCGGTAGTCATGTACTGTGATCAGCAGCCTTGCTGGGTAAGGAGGCTGTTGTACTGCATGAGAGAGAGAAGAGAAGCCTCTTCTGAGATTGTGCCCAAGATTTATTTTTGTAGCGTTTTTGAGAGGAGGCTATATAGTAGCTGAATCCAAGGCTCTTACACCTTAGTACTGATAGTGAAAACACTGACCAAAAGTACCAATCTAAAGCTTGATTTTTCACAAGCCTGGGACCGTTGTTTCTAACTTGCAGAGCAATGATAAGCACCATGGAGCAATTAGACTTCTTTTTTTTTTGGCACTGCAAACTTTTTAGTTCTAGAATTTACTTTTGTCTGTTGCTTTCATTCCACTCTGTAAGATATTGCCCTTGTTCTACAAAAATATTTGCTCTGTAAAACTAAATACAGTACATACCATAAGAAGGAGTGCATGTGCTGTACACAGATATAGATGGGCAGGAGGCGAGTGGTCTGCAGATGGTATAAATAGCCCATACTGTCCTGCTTAAATGTACTGAGTAATTCATCTCCACAGCTTAAAAAAAAACAAAACAAGAAACTGCATCTGGAATGTGTGGACCTTCTGGTACCTAGCAACCGCTCCACTGATGCTGTCGTATGTACTTACATATAGGGATTTAAAGTAAATATTTATATATGGTATTTTCATGTTCCTATATATATAAATATATATGTACATTGTAAACAGAAGATGGATATTGTAAGGCAGAAACTTGATGAAAGAATCTATTTTTGGCATGTTGAGATTGTATTTAAAAAGGTTCCATTTTATGTATGTAACGTAGGTGGAGATCCCCATGGGGGATCAGCTGAGGTCACAGCTGAGTTATGGGCTATGCTGCAGCATCATGGAATTACACTGAAATGTGACTTTAGCCATTAGCCGCTTGTGGGCAAACTGCAAAACAGCTGTGAAACAAACCACGAAATCATAAGCAACGCCCAAAGCTACCCTGTGCTTTGGGAATCACACACTGCCTTTTTCAGCTTATGTTAGAAGAACTAGAGTTTATAATCATGGCATTATTGTGCTGGGGAAAATATTCTAGTTCACCCTGAGAGTCTGTAAAATGTGCTAATTACCAGTTTGGCTCCCAAGGGCTTGTAATTTGGATGCACGCATCATAAAACAGCCTTACTGAGGAGACAGAACGATATCCTCCTATCCATCTCCCAAGAAAGGACCTGCATCTCTCTTCAACAGCTCTGAAATAGCTGCTTAAAATACTGCCATACAAACAACTGCCTCACTGCTGTAGCGCAGCATGCGGTTTTTTTACTGTTGCGTGGAAAATTAACCATATACCTGACAGCAGGTTTCAGCCTGCTGAAACCCACAGAGCCTTCAGGCTGTGCTGCCTGGTATTTGCCAAATGTTCACATTTAATGGGAGCTGTGCACACTGATCTGAGGAGGGAACTCGGGCACGTTAAGCCTCTGAAGATAGCAAAAGCCATCCTTCTCCCACGCTCATGGGTGTTGAGCATGCTCTGCTGCCACCACGTTGGTGAGAGATGGAGACTCTCAGCACCTCTTGGGAAAAGCAAGGCTGAAAAGGCAACAGTTTTGGTAGTGCACCGCCATATATATATATAGGTGGTGCACTAATGCACCTTTAAAGTGTACATGGTTTTGTAAGAGAGATGGTTGGGTGAAGATGGCAGCGTCTCGGTCTGCTGCTCAGTGGGCATCCTGAATGACAAACCACTTACTTACTTACTTACTCTGCTGACCAACAACATGCTGTGCTGCTTCTTATCTCCTCAGCGCACAGGAGCCAGTGCCAGCTACCTATAGGAGACTGCTTTGGATTAGCTCCTAGCTTGGAGGTCACTCAAAGAATTGCTAAATTCCAGATGTTAAGTTTTATTATTAAGAGTGATGCACAAATGAGGAAAAGCTTCACTTTCAAATTCCGAGGTAGGCTGGGTCACTGGTAGTCAGGTGGGGGAGGAGAGGTTTAGATGCGAGCTGAGTAAATGGCTGGGATGATAGAACACATACAGAATTTGTGGCGCATTTTATAGAGCGACCTTTTCTACTGAAAATGAGAAGGAAGCATCTTCCTTGATGAAAAGTCGATGCCTCACCATGGTACTCCACTCTAACGATGACAAAATAACTGTGATTTACTTCATTTAATTCAATATATGTAATAAATGTTTCCATTCAGGTTTCCCATGGTCACCAGTCAACCCACAGTAGTAAGCCATAGCAAGGACTGAAATGCCTCTTTTTAATGTCTGCCCTGCTAGAAATCAATGCAGCTTATAAATGATGTAATCCGTAATTTAGTTTATTCAGGTGGCTGGGCAGATGGTGTTGATTTTGTTGGATGGTTGTTGAGAAATGGACAAACAGGCAGACCAGTCGGTCTGTTTTCTCATGTGTTTTATTTTCCTATCGGTTGCACTGAATACTGTACTAATGAGGTGCATACAATGTACTGTGGCTGGTTTTGTGCTTTCCTCCACTCTCTCTTGTAACAGAACTGGTGTATTTCTGCTGTGAAAACAAAGGATGCTGCTTAAGTAGTGTTAGAGGCCTTAAGCGCATGTCATGTTCAACAAACGTCCAGGCCGTGTGAGTCTCGTCAGCATGTCAGTCGGTCCCATTGCCTCAGCATTTTTACGCAAACCTTAACTAAATACAGAGGAGTGTCAGCAAAAGGACAGAGTTCTGTGTGTCAGCCTCTTGCGCAACACCACATTGGTCTCCCTTTCTTTGATATACTGCTACGCGAGGCTGTTTTCTCCCGGGATATAGACTGCATGCATTAAAATTTACCCATCTCCTTTCAATCCTTGCCTTGCCATAGCTCACCTGGCACCTGCCGCCCCCGGCCCCCAGGCTGTGGTGGGGTGCGAAGTAGCACAGCTGCCCGCAGCTGGCTTTCAGGGGTAACAACGTGTACTTTGTGGCAACTTAAAAAAAAAGACCTGTCAAAACCGGGGGTTAGGGTTTTTTTCTCCCTCCAGCGCAGGCCCTTTGCCCGAGGGTGGCTCTCCAGAGGGGTCTGTGCCCCCCCCACCAAACGCCCAGCGGGGCCTTGCTGGGGCAGGCGGGGAACAAGGCTGGCTGTCTGCCAGCCCCCGAGCCGAGGCGGGCGCGGGGGCCGGCCCTTGAGACTGGGCCCCCGGCA